GTATCCTGCTGTCAGGACCTCACTCTTCACCTCAGGTACCCCCTAAATCCCAGTGTATCTGCCTGAGAAGAATGCTGAAGAAGAACATAAATTTCCCATGGGTATGCCAGAAACCAGGGGAAGAACAAAAGGAACAGAAAGATAGGAAAATAAAACACCAAATTTCTGAAAAACAGAGTTTGACTACACTGTGTCTTCCATGTGGGATCCCAACTAGACCAAATCCAGTCACTGGAGTGGGTTCTGTGGGCCAGCAAGGTCCCTTTTTTCATGGGACTGACAGCAAGAAAGATTGAGAATACGCAAAGGTGCTGAGCAGGCAGTCTTCCCAGATTATTACCAGCATCACCCTGTACCTGTTTTCTGTCATGGTTTTTCCTGGATTAGAGATAGTTTTGCTTGATATGGTGCTTTGTTTTGGATTTGGGCAGAAAACAGCAATACAGAAGTTTTAGCTGTGACTCAGCAGTGCTGCACAGTCAAGGACATCTCAGCTTCTGCTGCTGCTCTGACAGCAAAGGGACTGGAGGGGACAGAGATTGCTGGGAGGGAACAGGACCAGGACAGCTGATCTAATGCAGATATAAAGGGATGCTCCACGCCATAGAGTATCATGTTAAAAATGAAATGGGGAGATGGCTGGAGTGGCTGCCTGTCCTCAGGAGCTAGCTGGGCACTGGTCACCTGGTGATGAGCAGTTGTGTTGGGCAGCACTTGCTTTGTTTGTTCTCGCTGGCTTTGTTACTGTTAGGTTTTGTATTGTTGTTTCCTTTTCTTTTCCTTCTTTCCTCCCTTCTTATTAAACTGTCCAAGCCAGTCCGCGAGTTCTCGACTTTCCTTTTCCGTTCTCTCCCCATCCTACAGCAGGGGGCAGCATCGGAACGTCAATGTGGCATTTAGCGCTGCAGTCTCATAGAATCACAGAATCACAGAACGGCCTGGGTTGCACAGGAGCACAGTGCTCATTCAGTTCCAACCCCCTGCTGTGTGCAGGTCACCAACCAGCAGCCCAGGCTGCCCAGAGCCACATCCAGCCTGGCCTTGAATGCCTGCAGGGATGGGGCATCCACAGCCTCCTTGGGCAACCTGTGCCAGTGCATCACCACCCTCTGCGGGAAAAACTTCCTCCTAACATCCAACCTAAACCTCCCCTGTCTCAGTTTAAAGCCATTCCTCCTTGTCCTATCACTATCCACCCTTATAAACACTCATTCCCCCTACTTTCAAGTATCCTTCAAGTATCTGAAGGCCACAATGAGGTCTCCCTGGAGCGTACTCTTCTGTCTCCAAGGCAGGAGAGTCTTCCATACTTTCTGACCAGTGATCCTTGCAGCTACGCCTGCTTCAAAGGAGCTAATGGCACAGAAGTCTGTTGTCAGCTGTACCTCAGCTGTGCTCTCTGTGCAATTGTTATCCCTCCATAGCAGCGTCACTTCTGAATCTGACACCGACACTGATCTGAATCATTCTTGCAGTAGCTCTCAGCAAATGCTTTCCCTCAGTGCTCTACAAGACTCACCTTCTGCCCCAGACACTTATGCTCAAATCATGCATTTTCCTGATGCCTGCTGATGAAGAATGGAGCCTTTTCTGCCTCCACTGCGGACACCAATTTTGTGAAGTATGTGGAAGAGAAGACAAATGACACGATCTAAAATAATGCCTCCTTTTTATTTCGTGGCACTACAAAATATACAAAAAGCACAATAACAAAAGCAATTTCTCAGCTACAAAGCAGTGTTTTTTGACACAGTCACCACCAAAAGCCATGTATTTTCACCAGCATTGAACAGGAGTCTGCATGCAGTGCTGGTAAAAATCTGCACCAGTGGAGATGGCCCACATTATATCTTTAGTGTAGTGACAAAGATTATCGTATGATTTGTTGTTTTGCTTTTTTTTTTTTTTTTTTCCTGCCTGAGCTTCTTGATTTATAACACTGTTATTACGTTTCCCTCCAGGAGGATTAAGAGATTCACAATAAATAACATTACATTGAATCAACACTTTTTTTTTTTTTTTTTTTTTTTTTTTTTTTTTTTTTTTTTTTCCTGCACTTTTTCACAGTATTTCTTTGCACTTCAGCCTTGATGTGTGCAGGAGATGAGAATGAGTTTAATGTGTTTGCCCAGAGGCAGGTTCCTGGGAGCATCAGAAGCTCCAAAGTTCCCGAAGAGCCCAAGATAACAGCAGTGACTCCCCTCAGCAATAAAGTAGGCAGAAGCTGATGGTCAACTTGCCATAAAGAAGGAGTCCACCAACCAAGCCATCAGGATTAGTTTTCTCCTTAAGAGTCTTTTCATTTGGAAGATGCAATAAAACAGAAAATGATGCTGTAATGGAGTTAAATGCAAGCAAGCAGATCTACCACATTGGAGTCCTAGTGGGCTGACACTTGAGACAGTATGATTTTTGATTGCATGCTTGATGAAGACATACTCCTGAGCCTTAGGATTAAGCCTGAGCTCTCTTATCAACCTGTCTGCTGTGTAACCCCAAGCTGAATCCTCAGAAGTTGTTGTGTTTGTTTTGGACTCTCAGCTAAGTGGTGTGCAGGGCCTGCCTTGGAGGTACTGGCTGACCTCCCCACTGCTATTGCGTAAAATAGCATCTGTATCCATTCTCACAAAAGGCCCACTCTAGTCACGAGGGTCTTTTAGATCTTCAGAATCTACAGTTAGCAGAGGAGTGGGATAAAAATATGTTATTTCTGAATAGTTTTTCCATGGCAGGTCAGAAGCACAACAAGGCATTTGCTCTCCCCACAGCATGCTTTCTGTTGTCCACAAGTCTGCCACTCATTTACCTGTGTGCGTGTCCTCCTACTTTATGCAGCAGTCAGGTGAAGAGCGTGCCCTTGATCTTGCACTCTGGCTCAATGTCTGCAGAGATCAGGAAGGATCTCTCGCCTCCCCTTCCTTTCATTGGAGGAAAAAAAAAAAAAGAAATGCAGTAACTTGCAGAGTACAGACCCTTTCCAAAGAGAACGTGAGGCTCATTTGACTTTCGAGAGGCCACCTTAAGTTTCTGTTATGTTTTGTGGTCCTCAGCAGTGCGGCAGCACTCGACCGTCCCACCTGGGCCAAGAGAGCGTGCCCTGATCGTGGGGCTGCTCCTCCTGTGCCGCACGGCATCGGACTCCCGTTGTCCCGTTTCTCCAGCCAGCCGAAGTTCCTCTAGATGGCAGCAGGCTCCGCGGATCTGTCTTCTACGCTCACTGGTTTTGTAGCCGACCACAGAGTTTAGACCATCGCCTAGGCCATTAATGAAGGTACTGAACGGCATCTAAAACTACAGGGCGCATGGCTGAGCAGCACTGCGGGAAGTGAAGTGAAGAAGGAGAGGAGGAAAGAGGAGAGGGGAGGAAAGGGGAGAAGATGGAAAGAGGACAGAAAATGGAGACACAGTCCAAAACAAAACAAAACAAAACAAAACAGATCTCATTACTCTATATTACTCCATGAGAAATCAAGAGCAAAAGTCCCTGTGCAGTGTCTGGGCAACACCATGAAGCCACCCAGAAGTGCAGCCACCAGCTCACAGAAGTTCACACACGCCCTGCAGATGCACCATCACACCTCTCCCACGCAGCCACCCACAGCCATGAAAGTTGCAGTCAGTGGATTGCCACCTCTGCCTGGAAAATGCCGTCAGCCTCCCTGCTCGCTTCCTTCCGCGCTGTCTTTGTGAGTATCTGTGCTCTTCCCTAGATACTGTTCCCACCACACACAGCTTCTCTCCTGCCTCTCTTTGCGCGAACGTCCTGCAGCATGCACAGCATGTCTGTGCATTGCTCCACCGCCACGTGGCCCCACTCTTCATGCTTTCTGTGGGTGCTTCCAGCTGTTCAGACAGTGGTCTAAGAGTTTATCCCCATCCAAGACAACAACAGTACTAAAAACAGAGGTGTTTTTGTTTGTTTGTTTGTTTGTTTTTGTAGTCCATGTTTCTGTTCCTGACTCGTTCGTGTGCTCTTCCCTTTCAAAAGCCAAACGAATGCCTTGCAGAGATCTCTCTTTTTCTTTTTTTTCTTTTTCTTTCTTTTTTCTTTTTTCTTTTCTTTCCCTCACAAATATCTGTGTCTTGCACCTAAATTTGTGCTCTCCTTAACACCAACTGTGAAGGCTGTTTGGAGGAGAACTTCTCCTCCACTTCTGCCGGCAGAAGTAATCGAAGCTGGTTCTGGTACTGACACTCGCACAGGAGTTGTCACTGCGGGGAGAGGCAGGAATTTTCTTCCGTGGCCCCTCTTTACAGGAGTGGGAAGCAGAGGCGGTGGCACAACGTTTGCCGGCCCCGCGCAGCAGAGGAGCCGCAGGACGAGCGCAGCCCCACCTGGGGAACCGCAGCGCCCCGCGGTTACCTCGGCTGGCTCCGTAGCGTGGGATTCCCGAGCGTGAAATCAAGACTTTTTTCCAAACGCTGTCATCAGAACAGTGACTTTATTAACAGAGACGAACACAGGATTAAACCACTTTATGAGTTCGCCGAAACGCACAGTGTACCTGCGGAGGACAGACATATTTATGTACATCAGTTCGTCGTAGAAACGTGAGAAATTTGGTTGAGGCGGCTGGGATATCCCCTGGTTGTTTACAACGGATCCAGATAGCTTCCTCTTCACGGTGGCTCCGCTGAAGCGGCGGCTCCTTCGACGGTTCCCCCAGCCGCACCCGGGGCGCCCCCGCCGTCCGCCGCGAGTCTTCCTCGGTGCGCGGCGCCGCCGCTGCCCCCGGCCCGGCGTCGGAGGGGCGAGCAGGAGGCGATCGGGGCGCGCCTGGCGCAGCTCTGCTCACACGGCTCCGCATCCCCCGCGGAACGCCGAACCCCGCGGCGGGCGGGCGTCCCGTGGGAGGAGCGGGCCGCGCTTTTCCTGAACGGACGAAAACCAAACGGGGAAAGAGGGCCGGGGAGAGGGCAGGAGGGAGAACGGCTCCACGGGTGTCGGATGTCTGTGCGGTGTCGGGCGGGCGGACGCTGCCCCGCGCCGGTGCTGCCGCTCACAGGCACTTGAGAAGGAAGGAGTTGCACGATGTGCCCCGCGGGCAGTCGCAGAGCTTCCCGATGCGGGCCCCCTTCCTCACGGCGCACTGCTCTCCGGCGTCGCACTGCGGGAGGCGGAGGGCGCTCAGAGGGCCGCCCGGTCTCATCCCGCCCATCCCGATCCCTCCCTTTCCACTCCCGCCCGGTCCCGTCCCGTCGCTCGCTCACCATCGGCACCTGCCCGAACTTTTTCTCGTAGTGCGGCACCCGCTTGCTCTTCAGCTTCTCCAGCACCTCCTGCAGCGCCTCGATCTGCCGAGAGACCCAGAGCCCCGTCAGCCCGCCGCAGCCGCCGCCCGCCCCCCGCCGCGCTGAGCCCCCCCGTCCCCGCCCCACCAGCTCCTTCTCTCGGGACGCGCCGCCGCCGCCGCCGCCGTGCGGCCCGAGGTCGCGGTCGCGGCGCGGAGCGGGCGGCCCCTGCCCGCGGGCGCTGAGCAGCAGCGCGGCCGCCACGGCGCAGAGTGCCAGCGCCCGGCAGCTCTCCATGGTGCTGCCGACTCCCGCCGCGCCGCGCTGCCTTTATAGCGCCGCGCCCGCCCCGCCGTGCGTCAGCGCCCGATCCCGGCGCGGCGCCTCCCGCCCCCGGCGACACGGGCTGAGCCCGGCCCGCCCGGCTCCAGCGGCGGGAGAGGATGAGGACGGAGCGCCTCCCGAGTGCTCCCTGACTGCCGTTGGGCTGGAAACCGCGCCGTGCGGGAGCAGCGCCGCGTGAGAGGTGGCGGGATGGACGGAAGCCCGAGGATCGTTGGGGACGCAGCGGGCCTGGGAGTCAACGCGGGCATGTGAGAGCAGAGAGAGCTGGAGGCAGTGGTCTGCGGCAGGGTGCGATGAGAAGATGCACCTTTGTTATGAGCTTGCCAAAAGGGAAGAGACTGACTTTTTGTGTGGTCTGACGGTGGTATGGGCAGTTTTGAGCTGCAAGAGGGTAGAGTTACATGAGTTGTTAGGATATTAGATTAGATATCCTAACATTAGATGTTAGGATACTCATAGCCTGGTGAGGTGCTGGCACAGACTGCACGGAGGGGTTGCAAATGCCCCAGATGCCTGCATTCCAGGCAGGTGGAGCAGCCTGATCTAGCAGCTGGCAACCCTGCCCGTGGCAATGGGGCTGGAACTGGGTGGGCTTTAAGGTTCCTAACCGTACAAACCATCCTGTGGTTCTGTAGACAGACAGAACTGGAGGATCACCTGAAGGATGCAGATGGAGAGGGGCATAAGGACATTGAGCAACCAGCTGGCAAGGATGCACAGCTTGAAAGAGGGATTGGCAGCGGGGTGGGTAGGCTCAGAGCATTGGAGAGCGAGATAAATGTGCAAGAAAAGGATGAAAGTGATAAAATGGCACTTGGAGAGTAACTGTGAGAAGGAGTTCCAAGATAAAGCATTGGTGTGTTGAGTACATTGCATCCTGCATTGCATCCACTGGCTTTGGTGGGAGAACAGCACACTCACCAAAAAAGAACTAGTGCCAGCATGCGTGTGTGAGTCTTGCACACATCCTCCTTCAGCCTCTTGGCTGATCTTGCCTCTCCAGAATTACATGGAATAAATGTGCCTGAGCCTCAGCCAGTCGTGGCACAACAGGAGGATAAGAGAACTTCTCTGGCTGAGAACTGCAGGGTTGTGCTAGGAGGGCACGTGCAAGGAGAGGAAGAATCCCCAGGCAGGGCTCAGGACAAGGACTGGGGAAACACAGCATGGAGCTGAGCAGAGCAGCTGGCACCATAGGCTCCGTGGGGGCTGAGGGCAGCAGGAGGCAGCACGCAAGGTCTGCCTGGGGGAGGCCCCTGATCCTGGCCGGTGTGTGGGTTGCTCCTCCCTCCATCCAACAACTGCAGGAGGTGAGCCTGGTCCCCCGATGGAGGGATTGTCTGAGAAGGAGGAAATTGGAAAACCTCCTGAATAGAATTCTCTTGGCTGGTGATTCATCAGGAACAGGCTGAAATGTCAAAACAACCTGGGCAAAAAAGATGTCATTCAAAGAAAAGAAACAAAACATGCCCAGGGACATAGTTTTTCTGAATAGAAAGCAATGTGTGATGGGACTGACGGGAAACGTGGCCTAACAAGCAATTTTCAACAGCCCCATCTTGTCTGAGGCAGAAAGAAGTTCTGGATCTCTCCAACTGTCGTGCTGCTTGCCTCAAGAGCTGCAGGCTCACCTCTTGCTCTTATCCCCTCCCACACGCTCCTATTGATGATCTATAACAGAGGTCTCATCTGTAATTGCTCTTCAGAGCAGAATCCTCTCTGTGTTTGCACAAATCCTCCAGCCTCGTTTTGCTACAGAAAAGGCTGAGATGTCAGCCGTGGGGCTGATAGTCAACCACTCACAGCAAATCCCATGTCTCAGGCTGGGGCAGAAGTGCAGCAGTGCAAACTACTGGAAATAATGGACCTGCCAGAGCCTTTCTTAGAGCAAAGAAATAACACAGACAAGAAAAACGCCGTGCTTCATATGGACAGGCAGATAGATATACAGCCTGTTCAGCTTTGAAAGCACCGTCTGTGAAGCCTGGCCAAAAATTCAAACTATATTTTACAGTGTGAGGATTATGCTTGCAGTATTGAAAACACCACAGGGGTGATCAGAAAATATCACTGCTTTCTTTCTGACTTGTACCTCTGGATGAAGTCGGTTCCCACAGTGAAAGTATGATGGACTGTGGGAGCAATTAGAGATTTGTCTCCAAAAGTCACTGTGTCTGTCTGTCTGCAGACGCCTACAGAATGGCACCTTGCTGTGACTTACCTGTTGCTGTCTTTATTACACTGTCTCTGCAAACACTGCTGTGCTCTGCTCCATATTTGGTTAGTCTTGCAGACTGTAAAAACGGAGGATAAAAGGTTATCTGCGTGTTATAAAAAAAGTGAGATGCTACCACGTCAGCGAGAAGAGCAGGGTAACGGTGTGAAAAGGGCAAAGTTTCTGTTTACAGCTACAAAAAAGGTAGATGCTTTTTGGCCGCAGCATCAGTAGCCAGCCATAAGGCTAACTCAGCTCCAAATTACCCGCATGAACCCAGTCAAACCTTGCAGATGAGCAATCTGTTGTATCAGTGGGCTGAGTCAAGCTTCTCAAAGTTAACTTACTTTGTCCGCACTGAAATTATTATCGATGAGCCACAGAGACAGCCAGTGTGTTTTAATATCTGTATATCAAATGGGTAACTTCTGCAGTTTCACACTGCATGCTTTTCCTAAGCGCTCTGCCCCGTTGTGATTGATCAAGTGAGTGTACTTCTGAACACAGGAGAATAAAGGAGGTTTCTCTTGACATCAGTGTGTAAATAATGGAGTGTTCTTTGAGAAGTTTTGATGGTTTATATGTTCTAGTTGTGGACTGACGTAGACACACAGTGAGATGGATTTTATGAGTACTAAACCACAGAGATTAGCGTGAAGACTTTGCTCAAGTGTTCTACTGAATCAGAGCCATGAAGTTGGACATCTGGATTTAAGTGGATGCTTTAAGGCTTTGCAGAGAAACAGGGACTTTTGTGTGTGCTTTGTTGAATTGCCTTAGTTTATAAATCTTGGTTAAAAAAAAAAAAAGAAAAGAAAAGAAAATATACCACTGTTTGTTTTTCTGAATCGAGGGATTTCTTATCTGAAATCTGGAACAGCAAAGAAATCTAAGACAAATGAGAGTTCTGCCAAATTTAATAGAGTGCAGAGACATTTCCTGGAAGACAACATCTGTTTCAGCTGAAAACACAAACTTGTCTTGATGAGCAGCAGGAACAAAAAGTACCACCTGAGTATGAGATCGGTTCTCACAAGAACAGCAGATACATAAACACCAACACAACACTGAGGCTACAAATTTCACATTAAACCAACCCCAAAACAGGTGAAAGAGTAGTGGGAAAGAGAAATGGGAACGGGCATCCAGTTCTCAGAAATTATACTGAACTCTCAGTTTATGCAGGCAAAGATATAGGCTGTGCTCCAGTCTCTTCTCATTGCAGTCCTGGCGACCAGCATGCACGCCTCATGGTGCTCTTCCACCAGACCATCTGTCTTTGTTATGCAGACGGCCAGTGATTTTGGTTGGTTTTTGTGTTGCAGCTTCCAGAGGTTCCTGGCACATTCTTAGATGCCATGAGACAGAAAGGGAAATGATTTGTGTAAATGGCAGTGGGTAGAGGAAAGCGTTCTTATGATCCATCCTTAGTTCACAGTCTCACCCTGGGCTGCCTGCAACAGGGAGCAGCTTAGCACACCTCATTCAGAGCTTTCCACTTCCTTCTACTCTGGTGTTTGAAAAAACAGCACCTGATGTCACAGAACAACTGATTCTAAATTCAGCATACACAAATACTAACTTCTGATAAATATGTCTCTTGAGCTATCAAACAGTGCTGGAAATAATCTCTTGGTCTTGCTCAGATGCAGGAGGGATGTGTACAGCCCAGAAGGGCAATCCTTGAGGAGAGACCAGCAGAGAGGATGCAGAAGCACAGAGCACCCAGCTTGAGGTCCTGGTCTGCCACAGCTTGTGTGCTTCAAGTTGTGCAGCCATTTCTTTTGTTCCTCTTCAGTATCCTCCTTTCCAGTAAGTAAACAGATTAGCAGTTGTGAGTCGCTGTGAGTTCATTGCTGTGAAGAAGTGACTTGGAGCCAAAAGAAGTAACAGAAAGCTGGAGACAGTTGTCCATGTTTCTTAAAGAGTCTTTGCTGTTAGGAATCTTTTGCTTCCCAAGTGACAGCTATGTTTTATTAATGGTGTTTTAACAACTGCATCCGGTAAATAGCCACAAGAGATCTTATGGCAATGGGAAGTGAGAATTAGTAAAATAAAATACTGCCAGGCATCATACGCCTACCAACATCATCAACTATGGTGAAGGCATGGGAAACCGGATCTCCTGCGGGACAAGTGCCAATCTCTGCCTTTAGAGTGCCATTATACATAACATGCATCACATGGCCAGTGCTCTCCTGTGAGGCACCACATATTATGCTGTAAAAACTTTTTTCAATAAGTGGTTTCCTATGCAATGGGCATAGTTAATTGCTAGCGATTCCTTGCGTCATTTGTGTTCAGTGATGGTCCCTCTCTGTGCATCTCACCCTAACAGGAGCATGCTAACAAGCCCACGATGATGAATTCCATTTGTTTAACAGGTTTCCAAAGATAGGTATTACTAATGCAGACGTAACTTATTTATGCAGAAACATGCTCTGACTTGGCTTGTACACATATTTAGAGGGACAAATATTGATAAATGTAATAACTGTTCTTTTCGTCATAACAAGTGATTGGCCTTGCCAGAAGTTCAATTCCTCCTGAACACGTCTAATTCCATTATGTGCATCTAAGGATTATCAGTTACTGTCTCCAACTTGGAAAATTACTTGCCTCACTTAAAAAATGACATCAAAACAAAAGCAAGACACACAGTGAGCAGCTGAGGTCCCTGGGTTTGTTCAGCCCGGAGCAGAGGGGTTGAGGGGAGCCCTCGTGGCAGCTGCAGCTC